TTATTGAGATAAATGAAATACAATCTGATCCTGTTGCACATCTGCAACAATCAAATCTCCCAGTCTTGTGGTGCGGCTGTAACAAATACATAGAGTGGTTATACAAGACTTTGGAAAACATCTGTGAATATCAGATAACATAGATATGTAACTGGAAGTGTAAAAAACAGGCACAATCAGTGAAAAAAATATTGATGTTCTGTAAAATGCAAAAAAAGTAACTTGATCCAAATGTTAATACTGAATATTCTCTTTACTATACTCCAGTTTCATTTGATTCAGCCTCATAGTAAGACCTAACTACAATATATAGATACTATACCTACATCCCTTACCTATACATAGTTTTCATTTGATTTATGAAAAAAGCTGAAGAATTTGAAATTTTAGCAAGTCTTTGGCACTTATAATGCTATATGTGTAACCTCCCCTGTCCTGTAGTGTATATGTTTGGTACACCCCTGTGGTGTATGTGTTTGGTACACCCCTGTGGTGTATATGTTTGGTACACCCCTGTAGTGTATATGTTTGGTACACCCCTGTGGTGTATATGTTTGGTACAGTCCTGTGGTGTATATGTTCAATACACCCCTGTGGTGTATATGTTTGGTACACCCCTGTGGTGTATATGTTTGGTACACTCCTGTGGTGTATATGTTTGGTACACTCCTGTGGTGTATATGTTTGGTACACCCCTGTAGTGTATATGTTTGATACACCCCTAGAGCCTGTATATGTTTGGTACACCCCTGTAGTATATATGTTTGGTATACCCCTAAAGCCTGTATGTTGTACATCTCTGTAGTATGTGTTGTACACTCCTAGAGCCTGTATGTGGTTGTAGTATGTGTTGTACACTCCTAGAGCCTGTATGTGGTACATCTCTGTGGTATGTGTTGTACACCCCTAGAGCCTGTATGTGGTACATCTCTGTAGTATATGCTGTACACCCCTAGAGCCTGTATGTGGTACATCTCTGTAGTATGTGTTGTACACCCCTAGAGCCTGTATGTGGTTGTAGTATGTGCTGTACACCCCTAGAGCCTGTAGGTGGTTGTAGTATGTGTTGTACACCCCTAGAGCCTGTAGGTGGTTGTAGTATGAGTTGTACATCCCTAGAGCCTGTAGGTGGTTGTAGTATGTGTTGTACACCCCTAGAGCCTGTAGGTGGTTGTAGTATGTGCTGTACACCCCTAGAGCCTGTATGTGGTTGTAGTATGTGTTGTACACCCCTAGAGCCTGTATGTGGTTGTAGTATGTGCTGTACACTCCTGGAGTCTATATGTGGCTCTGTAGAAGAGTTTATTGATTATTATATTTATACAGACAACAGCACTCATTGACATTGATCAGCCTTACTTGCCTCTAGTTAAGGGATTGAATACTGGCATCACTGTAGTAATATCTTAATTGTGAATGTTATATTGATTGACAATGTAATCTAAATATTATTACCATAGTAGTTTGTGCTGCATCTCAGAAATGGTATTTCTCAATCATTGTTGTCTTCCATTATGGAGTGACCATACAGCTGCCTTTATGTACATATAGTGACCATTAAGGATGTGCTGCTCTGAGAAGTGAAATAATTCTAGTATTGAACTTTTTTTCTGATGATGACTTATTGAACAATTTGATCTCAGAAATTAAATTAAAAGCAAAAAAAATCAATATGTTGTTGCACTGCTTTTTCTGATATAGGCGTCAGAAAGTGTATAACGGGAAATTATTCATTTTCATATATTGTTCTTATTTTTTTCCTGAATAATAGACTTTTCATGTTATTTACACAGCAACCTATTTTCAAAATGTTACTTGATATTAAGAAGAAATGATGCGAAAAATCCTTAACCTTTATACCTGGTATAGTAACCATAAGACTGCTTATCTGTTTAGAGTGACCATAAGACTGCCTACCTGTGTATAGTGACCATAAGACTGCTTATCTGTTTAGAGTGACCATAAGACTGCCTACCTGTGTATAGTGACCATAAGACTGCTTATCTGTTTAGAGTGACCATAAGACTGCCTACCTGTGTATAGTGACCATAAGACTGCTTATCTGTTTAGAGTGACCATAAGACTGCCTACCTGTGTATAGTGACCATAAGACTGCTTATCTGTTTAGAGTGACCATAAGACTGCCTACCTGTGTATAGTGACCATAAGACTGCCTACCTGTGTATAGTGGCCATAAGACTGTCTACCTGTGTATAGTAACCATAAGACTGCCTACCTGTGTATTGAATAACAATAAGACTGCCTACCTGTGTATAGTAACCATAAAAATGCCTATATGAGGATAGTGACCGTAAGGTTTCCTGGAAACTGCTTTGTAGATTTTTATCCAAGAGTGAATGTTTACCCCTTTTGAGTTACAAAATTTTGGTGGCAGATTTGTGTTGGCCTCTTTAATTGAAACTTAACTGATGACGGCGTCTGTGTCCAAAAATAAGATATAGTAATAATTTGGCAGTTATTTCACAGAAAGTAGACTTAATATGCCATGATTCTGGATGCATATTGTGGAAAAAACAGACAAATTGTATTTGAGGATTTCTCTGAACAACTATAGTATTGCTAGTGAACTAAGCAGTCTGAAACAAAATAACTTTATGAATTTGAAACATTGATTCATCACCCTATATATATATTGGTTTTTACTGCTCTTCCTTAATTCCTGGGTAGATTTCACCTAAATTTCGTCTGAAACATTATTAGTGAGAGGTAATGATATTAGACATAAATAATCTGAACTACTTTATCAGGTTCATTTGTAAAATTGAGAAAAAATGATTGGAGTTTCAATTGTTAAGGTAAAGAATTAGATGGTATGTTGATATATTCATCCTTTTCAAAAAAGCGTTTACATGGTAACCACGGTAGCCATTTTGTAACATGATTGCGCAATTGTTTTTTTATGAATAAAACCTATTATTTATGAGCTTTCTGAGACTTTCAAGGAATGTTCAAAATTTGAATTATCAGATTTGGTAGACCACCATCAGCAAATTATGTAATCAGTCCATCCATCTGTTGATTGTCAGATAACCGTTAAGGGCTATGGCCTTCTTGTTAAATACTTAGTGTCAACAGAGGTGTATATGGACCATGATTCATAGATACAGTTGTGGGATTGCACAGCATTACACTATGTGGGATGTGTGCGTAATAGGAAAACTGGATGAAATAAGCTATTGCACATCTGTGTGCTTGTTGTGCAATTCTATCATGTTTAAGGCAAATTTAGAAATGACTTACAAATAAGTATGAGATAGAGTTTATTTTCTAACATACTTAGAGGACAAAGAGATGCAACTCCAACATTACAATATATATTTTTGGGTACAAATAAGTTTATTTTCTAATCAATCCAGATTTATCAGATACAGACTGAATAGTTGTATATACAATCATAATTTAAAGTGTGTTGTTTACAAAGTACCACATGTGACCAGCCTTACAGTGTACAGACACTCATTATTTGGGCCCTGCATCTTGATGCTGGTGCCATATAGTAACTAGCTGTCTGTGTGTTTGTTCGGTTCTGCTTTCTACACAATAACTTTGTATTATTTGTCAAAATTCTCACTGGATAAAGTATGTTGCTTTATATCTATGATACAATGTGCCTCACATGACTTCAATAACCAGTGAGATCTGTCAATATTTGCAGGAGTTATGGGAGAAAACTTAACATTTAATTACTTTTCATGTGGTAATTTGCATTTTTGTCGATATTCTCCAAACGTGGTATATGACTTCACATGACATAGTTTCCCTAATCAGTGAAATGGGTGAAAAGAGAGATGGGATTTTGAATGCCAAAATTTCAACATTTTATTTTCTTTTTGCAAAATAATGTGACAGATGTGTATTTGTAGTTTGATCTTCACCAAATTTCTTTTGTGGGCTCATATCAATTAGACCTCACATGAGTTGATTACCAATCTCATCTATTAGTGTTTGCTAAGTTATGGGACTTTGAATGACAAAACTATGCCATTTTATTAGGTTAACATAGCCTGAAAGGCCAAGTGAGCTATAGGAATACTGCAGTGTCCATCATCTGCTGTCCGTTGTCCGTCAACTTTTCTTATGAATCACAATTAGTCATTAGTAACTGAGCGGATTTTAATCAAATTCAGTGTGAAGCATCCTTGGGGAAAGGTAAACCAATTTTGTATTAAAATGGTGTTGGGGCCCCCTGGAGTCTGGAATATCGGTCCCAATAGGGAAAATCTATCGCTGCAATTACTTTAAAATCTATCTTGTTCTTAAGGAGTTGCAGAATATTGTCCAAATTTGGTGCTTGGGTGAAGGGACATCAGTTTTGTATAAACAGTGAATACCCTGTGGCCAGAGAGTTGGGGCCAAATAGTGAACATATCACTTTCATTAAAATCTATTTTGTTCTTTAGGAAATGCAGGAAATTGTCCAAATTTATTGTTTGAATCATGTTTGGATGATGGGAAATCAGTTTTGTATAAAATGGTGGGTTTGGACTCCCCGCAGAGTCTAGAGGGGCAAGACCTAATAGGGAAATCTATCAATTTATTTTGAATCCTACTCCTGTAGGGATGATTTGATTCTGCCTGTATTTGCTTAAAGCATACTTTGATGAAGATGAATAAGGTTTGCATAAACTACATGTTTCGGCCTTTAGGGCGAGAGGGGCAGGGCCCAATAGGTTAATGATAAATTTTTTAGCCAAGCATGTTGTTGCCTTACTTGCATTAGCTAGAGGGCAGTTCCCTTCCTGTAATGGTAGCTATGATGTCTGCCTTGAGAACAAATCTGGTTGCTGGTTCAATCAAGAGTGTGATATATTTTTCTGTCCTCTGACACTAAACGATATGCTCGTGTTTGACATATCTGTGAATACATAGATTTAAATGTGATTATAGCAGTTTGCACCATTTTTTTCAGGGACAGGGTTTCTTTAGCCCTGCTGTATAACAAAACAAACAGTCTCCCTTTAATGTGTATGTTTTTACAGGCAGATGCAAAGTGACCTGGACACATTTAAAACATCGGTTGAAAAGGTCAATGAAGAAGCCAAGAAGATTGGGGCTCCAAATCAAGACACAGGTGCCATCTGTCAGATTTGTCACAAAACAAAATTTGCCGATGGAGTTGGACATCGTTGCAATTACTGTCATTTACGTTCATGTGCCCGGTGTGGAGGCAGGATGACTTTAAAACCAAATAAGGTGAGGAATGCTTTAATTTATTTTCATGTAGCTGTATATCATCAATCAGGCCATGCATTCTTGACTGCTTAATATTACAAAGAAGGATTGAGGCATTCAAGAGCACAATCCCATCAGTTTACCCACCCATTGACCTCTGTCTCACCAAACTTGAATTAGGAAGGCTTTATTGCGATCCCCTATTATCCCTGATCATGCCTCCTGCATCATGAAGTTTAAACATTTTCAACATCTTATTCTTTCCATGGTGAAAGGCACACCACAATTGTAAATTATATGGTTCCCAACCTCCAGGGGCTTGAGGGGCCCGGATCTAATTGATTTAAATTTCAAAAATCTTCTCCTCCTAAAGCAGCTAGGGTAGAATCAATTGCTCTTCATGGATAGAAACGCCTTCAGAGACTTAACCTTATTGTAAAGTTTGATGACTCCCAGGGTCTCAAATTTCCCCCTGGGGAAGAGGTTAAGTTTACTGGAGTTTATATAGGAAAATTACATTTTTGAACATACTTTGATTATAAGTTCCCTGATGGTGAGACCGCAGGGGACTATAACAGGATTGCCCAGTTGATAAGCCGCCCATGGGCAGTAATTTTAGATTGGCAGTCATTTGAGATTAAAAGAAAAGCTTTGTTTCCATAAATGTTTTAATGTAAGTCAAATTTCCAGATGATTTCATGTGTTGCAGAATGCACAAAAGTCACGGCAATCAGGGATCGCTGAGAGCTAATAATCACAAGTTGTTAACATTGAAAGTTTAATTCATGATGTCTATTGTGTTTATTGTTTTGTTTACACTAGCATCATAATACGCTGCCTATCTGTCATGTTAATTGAGATTTTAAACACTAGATAATTCCTTGAAGAATCATTTTGTCAAACTGCAGCAGAATATGGAAATTCATTCTGAGGTTTTTTCATGTAAAACCAATTTTCATGATGTAATACTTACCATAACTTTAGTATGCAAATATGGTACCTACACCCAACATTGTATCCCAAAAACAAAAGATCCCAAAAACAAAAGACACAGATTGGTTGGATGGCACAGTGGTAACGCACTCACCTTTTACCTAGTCGTCTGGGGTTCGATTACCGGAATGGATGTGAAAAGGTAGTGGGTCACCTGCACGGCCGCATGGGCTTTCCCTGGGTACTCCGGTATCCTCCCACACTAAGACCCCTTGCACACTTCCAACCGAGCCAACAAGAGTGATATATATAAGTTGGAAAATGGGAAAAGGAGCCAGATTCCACTATGGGGCAAGCTGCCGAACTCTGGATCTATCTGATTAGAGCAGAAGGAGAGGACGAACCTATCTTCTTCCTGCCGTAAAAAGCAAGGACAATAGGGGTAGGATAACCAGCTATATAGTGCCAGGGGCGTGACTGGTAGACAGTAGAAGTGGAAGCCCTGATACATCGCGCAGTGCGATCTGACATCTTTCCAGAAAAGCCTGCCTTAATGAGACTTCCCGAGATAGCCTCCATGCGTGATCTCTGGTTGAGAGTGTGTCGTCTTGGACCGAGACTGGCGAAGGAGATTTGATCTGATAGGGAGAGCCAGAGGCTCTGTGAATGGAGAGAGCACAGAGAACATGAGACCTGGTGCTCCCTTGTCTCTCCAGATACATGACAACTGTAGAGTTGTCGGTAGTCACACAAATCACTTTTGACTGCGGAACCTTCTGAAAAGACTGCAGAGCCAAAAGAACAGAATTCATCTCAAGCACATTGATGTGCTCCGAGAGCTGTTCCCGGACCACTCCCACGAACAGCACTAGCCATTGAGGTAAGCTCCCCATCCTGTCATGAATGCGTCCGAGGAATCCAGGCCTTCCACTTCCCGGATAACGGAACCCAGTTGGACAAAAGGAACATCTTCAGATATCTGATGTGAAGCCTCCCGAGGGGGATCACATCTGTCAGGGAGTAGAGATACCCCAGAAAACTGATGAATCAACGCACCTGGACATGCAACCAAGCGATGAAGGTCAGAGCCAGAGCCCTGGCCTTCTTGAACTTCTCAAATTGTGTAAAGGCTAAGCCCTAAACCGATTCCCAAGGAAAATGAAGGGCTAAGCCATAAACTGTGTCTAAACGGTTCCCCAGGAAAACAAACTTCTGAGATAGGGAAACCTCTGACTTCTCTCTGGAAGGAATGAAGCTGACTATGAGCAAGAATTTCAGGACCAGACGGGTGTCCTTCACTAACAATTCTCTTACCATGTCAAGCATGAGGGAATCGTTGAAATTAATGTTGACATCTATTCCGCGAGAGTGAAGAAATTCCACGACCACCTGCAGCAGCTAGGTGAAAACCAAAGGTGATGTCATGAACCCAACGGGCATGGTCCGGAATCGGAAGACCTTGCCATTGCATGTAAAACGGAGGAAACTGCAGTGCCAACATCTTGATTTGATGGGGATATGGAAGTAGGCATCCTTCAGATCTACTGAAGTTGCGCACATTTCATCCCTCAAGGAGGCCATGATGCCCCATGGTGTCTCCATCTTGAAGTGAGTAGAAGCCAGGAGAACATTTCGACATAGGCACCTCCTCTATCACGCCCTTGGCAAGCATGGTCCCTACTTCCTCCTGGAGCACCTGAGCCATTGCCAGATTCCCCTGAGGAGGAAAAAAATCGTCAGGGCAGCGAGGGGCAGATAATGCCCAAGCGTCTTCTGTGATCTGCCTCAGCCAAAGAGCTGAAGGATTCAGGAACACTTCTTCTTGCCCCGGTAGGGTTCTCACCCTTCTTACCCTTCCCCTTGTTGCTCTTTAAGCAAGGCTTGGACTTGGGCTGCGCAGAAGACTGAGCAGCCGAAGACATTGCCCTCTGCTTGGAAGGCGCTGACCTCTGCGAGGCACTGAATAGTTCAGTGACCAGCAATCAAAAGTCCCTACCCGAAGGTAAAACCGATGGAAGGCAGGAACTCCCAGCCAATCCAATATCGAAGTCTCACTACAAGGCTGGCACAGAGCACAGGCATCAGGATGGTCCTGCTTCCGGAGAAATGGGAACGACCATGTGCTGTACTCAATTGTAAACCAGGGCTGGCCATACTTAAAACAATCAACAAACAATTGTAAATGAGTAAAAAGGCAAGAAAGTTTTGAAAAACTAACAAAGGAAGTCACGAAACCGGAAGAACAAACCATAGCACCGAAAGAAGGCTGCCAAAAAACAGCCAACAACGCAGAAAACAAAAAATTAACCTTACATAACCGAAAACGTGGAACAAGCAGTCACGCGCTTGAAACATGTGGAGGAAAATTTGGCCGAAATGTTGGCGTGAACAAACATAAAAATGTCACAAAGGACAATATAATTGAGAGATGGGTTTTGTAAAGATAAAACTGAGTGTTATAAAATTCTCAGGCAATAATACAAAAATAGTAGAAAGTCAAGAACTAAACTTGGACATATCCGTTCTCGCTGGTACCATAAAGGAAAGAGGATGGGATATCACTCTATGTCTCTGCCGTGATGGCTCATGGGATTGTAGGGAGGGCAGGATTTTTTAATCTTTTGTTTTTTGGATACAAAGATGGGTGTAGGTACCATATTTGCATACGAAAGTTATGGTAATTATTACTGAAATGAAAAGGCACTTTTCGAAGAAATGTCTGTTATCAAACACACATGAGATGATGAAGAATATGGATGGGGCCTCTTACAGGTGATTTATTGTTATTGGATTATAATGCGTTAAAAAGCATGAAATAAAAATAATGCTTAAAACAGATAAAAAAAATACTTCTTACTTATTATGCACTTGACTTTTGTTTATTCGGTGCAATCAGTAATCGAATGGAATTTAAAGAAAACATTGAGTCTGATTTCCCTACAGAGAGCATCGTAACTATGGGCTAATGATGAATCAGCACTCAAGCATGACCTAGAACTCATGTCACATTTAATGGGATGTATCGCTGCAGTTGACTTGAGATTCATGCAATAATTCAAAAACAAAATTGAAAATGATTATTAAATACTTTACTGGCAGGTATAAAGGTTAAAAAGATATATATGCATAAATGCAGAAATGAAGAGTTCAGTTGTAGGTAGCCGGAGAATCAATTCTGATGAAATTGGGCTAGCATAATGTAACTATGTCTATAGGAATTGGACATTCTGTATGTGAGATGGAACCATCATAATATATTAAAAATAGCAGGATTAATAGATATATGATTCCAGCTGTCGTAAAGTATAACGGCTATATTTCACATATAGAACATCTGATGTTTCACATTGAACATTGAATCCTGTGGTATACTTCACATGTTGACACACCAAAGGCTTATTATCAGTCAGCAAAATCAAAGAAAACTTAACCATCCATATAACCACCTTAGGCACTTATTTGGTCCATATTTTTGTTGAAATTTCCATGACCATTTAGCCACCCTGGGCGACTTTTGGATAGATCCTGATAGTGTTTGTCTCCGTCTCTCTGCCCGTCTGTCTGTTAGGTTATGAGGTATTTCAGTGTAAATGAGTTAAAGGTTGAAAGGTCAACTACAAATTTCAGTGTTGCTAAAAATAGATGTCAAGACACTGGTTTTTGGATTGAAGACTTTCAATTGCTTAACTGAGACGTCTGTTCATTGTTATCAAGGTTTATATTGCTTAGAAAATTTAATTAATGGCAGGGGACGAGTAATAACTGTAAGCTTGTTTTCTATTTGAAATAGATCAAACTTGGTTAGAATTATGAGTGTAAGATGACAGTTTAAGGAGATGCACATATTGACCTCGGCTGACACCCAGGGCTGTTGGGCAGGGCCAAAATGGATCAGATTGACTGAAATTTCAAAGATGTTCTAATGTTCCTGGGTGGAAGATTTTACATAGGAAAATTCAATTATTGAGTGTAATTTCTTTTAATGCAAACTTGGTTAGAAGCCTTAGCTGTCTTGGTTAGAAGCCTTAGCATGAGACAGCAGTTAATGTTTTGCACTGTAAAGTAACTCAGATGACCATTAAGGTCCT